GAAGTATCTTATTTATTATTGCATCTGTAAGATTGGGACTGTGCCTGGAATATATTAGGCAATTGCCTGTGGGTATGAATTGAATTAGACAACATTAATTTACTGTAATTTGGACTTGTACTGTATATGGAAAATATGAAAATTCCTCTAATTCCTTGTGTCTATTCTTCACTGACATCCCAAGAGCTAGGTCAAAATAATGGCTCATATTTGATAAGGAATAAGACAGGAAAATCACAATATTTGCCCAAATGGCATGGCAGGGCATAATTTAACCTAACTTAGATTATACTGTGATGCTTTTCAAGGGGGTTGTTGTTACTAAAATTAAAAAGAAAACCAGAAACAAAAAATAACAACCATATACCCCTGGAGCCATCTTACAATATATACATAATTTTCAGGAAAACAGTGTGGTTATACTGTATTTTGTAGTTTATTTTATTTTTATCATTGCCATAGCATAAATAATCAGATTTGCTGAATCTCAGGTAAAGTTCGATTGTTCTCTCTTCTCAATAACGCCTATTTTATGTGGTATCCGACTTAACACCAACCAATCCCCTTCTTGGCGCAGAGGTCTTTTTTGATTGTTTTATTAGGTTTATTCTTGAGTCAATTTTTTACTTTGCCTCTTCTAAGTACTCTCAGAAGAATAATGGCTGCTATAAAAAACTAAAATACAATCTCTTCATCTTTTTGTTCATTTGAAATATTTGTTCATTTGAAAAAAATTGTGGATTTTTTCTTTTTAACTGTCAAGAAGATTATAGAAGAGAATATTGGTGGCATCTGAACTTGTGAAGTTTTGGTTACATTTTCTATATTTATGCTTCTGACTCACCAGTTTAAGTGGTTTAATTCTCAAAAGAACTATCAATATCATTTATTGAAATCATAGGGCTAAATTGACCAACTTGTTGAATTTTACAAAAGTTGAGTGACTTTCCTCAGAGGATTGGGATGTTTTTCAAAAGTGCTTAGGTAGACTTTAGAGCAGGTGAAAGGGTGGAAATTCTCTGCATTCACTGAGAATATTCCATAAGAGCTCTTGAGGCAAAGACCATGTAGTACGGCACTTCTAGCAGAGTTGGGGTGTTACCAGGGCTGGGACAGCAGCTTGGAGCAGCCAACCCTCCCCTGCTCTCCCTTCCCACCCACCCCAGGACTCTCAGTACTCTCATGGCTTCACCCCTGACTCACCACTCTCCATCATTCTCAAGAAAATAAAGTCTGCAAGCATTATCAGAAGCAATTTCTAGAAATTAGAAATGTCTAGATTCACATGGATGGTTCCACAGTTGAGTCAGGCCACTTTGGCTAGAAACTTTTCATCAAGGGAGGGTCTCTGCTGAGAAATACTCTTTTTTTCTTTTTCTTTGAAGTGATTCAGTGTGAGCCTCTAATAGCACCTGATTTGGGGACCATGGACTGTAGTCACCCCCTGGCCAACTTCAGCTTTACCTCCACATGCACCTTCAGCTGCTCAGAAGGGACTGAGTTAATTGGAGAGAGTAAAGCTATTTGTGGATCATCTGGAATCTGGTCCAGCCCTCGTCCAGTGTGTCAAAGTGAGTAAGTTTGCCCGAATATACTGAAGATTTAAAGATGGAGCTGATGGATGAGCAGATGGTAGGGAAAGATATATTGAACTTTTAAATTTCATTTGGCTAAATGTATGTGGCTTAAAAATAAATTTGTAAACATTAATTTACTATAAAATCCTTGGCTGTTCTTGCCTCTTCTTTCAATGATAGCTATTTCTTTTTTTCAGCCAATTCTCAACTCCTCCCTTAACATCTAAACTCACTCCTCCCTTAACTCATTCTTCCCTTAATATCTAGTCTCTTAACATCTAAACTCACTGTCTCTACTGACTTATTTTTTACCCATTTTCTATTCCATTACAATCTCACTTATCTCTTAGTGCATTAAAATGTCTCTACAAAGGTCACCAATGACCATCTAATTCCCAAAGTAGTGGATACTTCTCAATTATCACTAAGCTGATACCTCCAAAATATGTCTGTGCATGAGAAGGACTATGCCTTCCTCATCTCTTTATACCCTCCACCCAACACAGAGCCTGGCAATAGGTGCTAAATAAATGCACCTTAAATTAGCATGCGAGAGAATAGCTACCCATGTCTGCCCCAGAGACCATCTGCACCAATGACAAAAATCTTTAAATGGTAGGATCTGTAAATGCTCTCAGAGAAGCTGATCTTTGTGTGGCCCAGAACAGGCAGTGGGGTAGGGGACCAGGGAGGAGGTATGGGGTCTTTAGGGGAGGATTGTATTTCAGGCTTATGGGACTTCCTTTCAAGGCTGGGCTATGTCCATTTCCTCATCCTCATGCAGCCAATAGGTGCCCTCTGTTTAGATACTCTGGGAACTTAAGCCTCCTCTCCATTATATATTTGAGTGTGGAGATGGATGCACTTTGAAACAGTTCATCAAACAATGTGAAGAATAAGGGACACAGTCAGACCCTGTGGCAATATGCAAAAATAAGTTTCTTCAATTGATGGTATCAGAAGATAACATTTTTTCATATCAGTATTTTTTCAATAAAGGTCCCCAGATGAACTTAGTTCACACTTACCAGAGGATATATAGATGTCTCCTTTTACTTATTTGTGAAGGAACTGGAGGGAAGTGGTAGGACTACATCATTTGAGAGACAGATTAGTGCAGGTCCTTGGCGTGTAAACAACAAGTGCACATGTTTGCACAGCTGCTTCAAAGTAAAAGCATTAATAGTTTCCTTTGATTGATAGGTTACCTGGTTCAGATCACTGGCTTTTATTTTTCCTGAAGTCATAATAGACTTTTTAGCTCTTCTCTGTATTTCAGAGTCCCAACTATTGAACAAGGCCGTGGAGCTAAACACAATGATGACCACTTCTTGCCAAGATTTTTAGGTTCTATAGGCATTGGGCTAGAAAAGCTGGTCCAGTCTTTGCCTCTACCATAGACCCATCATGGGCTTTCCCATGCTCTTTCCTCATCTGTCAAATAGCATCAAATGGGCTACTGCTGGGAGACATAGGAGGAAGAAAGTCTAATATCATGAGATGGCACTTAGTAAATAATGCTTGTGGCCTCATTCTATGTGCTTTGATGACTTCTCTTTCAGAATCTGACTGGAATTTCACAGGGATCAAGGAGGGTGACTATAACCCCCTCTTCATTCCCGTGGCAGTCATGGTTACAGCATTCTGTGGGTTGGCATTTATCATTTGGCTGGCAAGGAGATTAAAAAAAGGTATGTGAGTTTACCTGCATATGAAAATAGTATAACTTTAAAGTGGAAAAAATATAGAAACCCACAGGAAATTAAGTATGATAGATTCAACTGAAGCAGGATACCAAGCTCTATGTTCTACAGTGTGTGAAGCAGCCCAGTACACACTTTCATTAAAACAAGTTGGCTTATTTTTGCTTTTCATCCAACAAACTTTTTAAAAATGCCTACTATCTTCAAGGTACCTTGCTGGGGTGATAACAGACAAACGAGATATTCTAATGGTTCTTGGCTCTTATTTAACTCTGAAAAAAGGATGTGTAATCTCTGTCTTCTAAAAGCCTACATGCCTTTGATTTCAGTGCCACAGTTCCACTAGGAAGTAAGTCTAATGTCCAATAAGGTTTTCAAGGCACTGCTCTCAAATACCTGACTTCATCAAGAGTCACATACCTGTCTGGCTCCTGACATGTGGGAGTTGCATTGTCCCTACAAGAAATCCCCACGTTTTCTCCCTAATGTCTATGCACCAAGGTCAGAGCTCTAACTAAATGCACCACATACCCATGCTTCCCCTCCACTCTGGACTGGAGAAGAAAAGGGACTAGGGAGGGCTGCCTAGAGAAGCTAACATCTGCAGACTGGAATAGTAGATGGCACACCACCAGAAGAGAACAACAGCATCCCTCCCCTCCCCTCCTCTCCGCTCCCTCTTCAGTGTGTGCAAACCCTAAGGTGGGACCAACCTGCCGGTTACAGGCCCACAGTCTGCAGCAGGCCTTGGGTGTGTGCTGCCACATTTGGCCAAACTCATCTGGCAGAGACATTCCAGACTATGAAATTCACAGACATTAGGCAGCTTTTAAGATATCCCTGTTTCAAGTTCAGGGGCCATCAAAAACCTCAAAACCACTGCTAACCGACCATTCTGTCTTGCCTTTCTATGGGGTCAGTTGATTGCCATTTTAATTTTACTTCCATCAAATTAATTAGTATTCTGTTCACTGAATATGGTAGGTAAAGGCTGCCCCCCACCCATCCTCACCGACAGTTGCAGGAATATTATCTACCTACCAATCCCTAACAGCCTTCCACTAGATCTGATCTTTCATCCCAAATTTAAGAATAAAGAACTAGATTAGTTTTCTAACCAACCCAGAAAGACAATGGAGGGGGGCACTGTCGATGTGCAAGAACTTCCTTAACTGTAACCTAAGAGCACTGAGCAGTTAAAATGTCTCTGCTCCTGCTATTAGAAATTCTGCTAAGATTAGATCCCATCATATTATAGTACTATACTAAGTACTTAAGTGTTGTACTAAGGCAAAAGAAGAATGACATTTTTCTCCCACTGTTGGTTTTCCTTTCCACTAAGACTTCAAAGCGTGACCCTAATCGTCCATTCCTCCCTCCTACCTTGGATAAAGATGGCAGAGCTGAGAGGGTAGAGAATAGAGTAGGTAATTGCACACTGCCCTCTGGGATAAGTGGGTTATTATCTAAATAACCTTTAAGGACTTTGGGACTGTGAGTCACCTTAATAAGGAGGGTATTCCCAAATTCCAATTTTTTTTTTTTTTTT